TATCCCAATTTGCCAGAACTGTGGAGTTTGCATCCTGCAGCTTGCCAATGTTTTTGTTTAATGAGTGACCCTGCTAACTGAATTAAATCGAACCTGCAGCACTTTGCTGTGTGTCTTCCCCTATCTCTATCTCTCTCTCTCTCTCTCTCTCTCCTGCTGTCTATTTCTATGTCTCTATTACAAGTATTCCAGTCCTGTCTCCTGTGCTACTTTGAAAAGCTCACAAGTGAATTAAGTATAATTGTCTTCACCAACTAGGCTCATGTGTCGTGAATAGACTGACTGCCAGGAACAAACACAGGTTCTGTTACAGTCTTCTGGTATAATTATGGTGATGACACATGAGTCAGAGATTTATGTCAGAGAGAGAGAATATGATCTCAACAGAGGGTTGTTCATATGGACTCTTCTCATGAAGAACAAACTCATATAAAGGCAACACTCACTGCGAGACATTAATCCTGGCATGTTTTAATGCCCAGTATTCTCATATCAAAATATCTAAAGTTGCCAGCGCACAAAACTAAATTATCAAATTTACCCGCTTGGGACCAATAAGGGATTATTTAATAGAATAGAGAATAGAATAGCAAAATACTTTATTTATCCCCGAAGGGAAATTATAACGTCATAGCAGCTGAGTATAAACTGTGGTATAATGTTTGAGACGTTCATTGCTACTTTTGCTGTTCTACTGCTGTTTTGTTCTGTAAGCTAATGCGAGTCAAATCTTTGTTTTTATTCATCTACTGCCACCAACAATCAATCATCAACATCAAAAAGATGACAGGATATACCTAAAAACTAAATTCCTTTCAGGCTTAACAATGTTTTGAGCTTACTGGTAACATACAGTAGCATGCTAAAATGCTAATTGCTAATGTTATTATATTTAAGATCTAGCAGACTTAGGCTGAGGATCTGAAAATGAAAAGTTTTTCACACATCCAACAATTATGTGTTGGTTGAGTGTTGTAGCCTTGCTGTGCCACTAATGGTGTCTGGTTAGACTTTTAGTTTAGTTTATTTTTCTTTAGGAGGACTTAAAAGGTGTGAATGTGTTCACACACAGAGTGACGATAACCTCTAAGTTTGTCTTCGACACAGCTGCTGATTTACACTTAGCCAGCGCTCAGCATTCAATCAAATCATTGTAACTGAATGACAGGAAATGTGTGTGAATATAGGGGTGTGTGCCTGTGTACTGTGTGTGTGTCCTTGTCACTTGAAAATGAAAGGGCTTGTATTGACCAGGTCCACTTTCTCACATTGTGAGTTCAGAATGAGTGGTGCTGTGGATTGATCCACAAATGAAATCCTCTTTGTGTGTATGAATACATTCAGTCCACTCCCGGAACTGGTCTGCATGTGTGTGTGTGGGTGTGCTTCATTTTACTCAGAAAGGATATTGGCAACATTTGAGTGAAGACAGAGTATAGTAGTGAAACTTAAGATATATGCAATGGTCTAAAATTAAACCAATACAATTCAGATTTGTGTCTAATCACAACTATGATGGTCAAAACAATTAGCAAGAGATGTAAGTAGTAAAAAAAACGATAATTTCTTTAACATTTAGATTACAAATGGAAAATGCTCCTTACAGGATGTCTTTTATTTATACATATATCCTGCCTTTTTGTTTTTTCCAAACTCCACATCTCTTTTTACAGTATCTCACCACTATCAGTCAGACTGGTGAGATTGAGAACAGTCAATGTAGCTGTAAGTGATACAGGTGGAAACTGAAATGTTAACTCTACAGTTGAGTGAACCGTAAAGTGACCTGGGAGCAAATCTGATTTGAGGGCACTCAAAATCAAGGAGCAGAACTTGAAAGAAGGAGGTTTGTGTGGAAGGTAAAAGATAGGGTTCAAGTCGAGTGTTTTTCAAGCCAAAAGAAAGAAGACTGAAAGAGTATGGTATGAAAAGGGATTTTAAAGTAGAAGAGAGGCTGAGAGTTTAAGGAACTATTTGGGCTTTGTGGTAGCTGCTGGCTCAGCTCCCCCCTCCCTCTCCCTCTCTCTCTGTCTCGATCACTCTTCTTCCTCCCTTCTCTTCTAGACAGTAAATCATTTGTAGTTTTCATTGTGTTAAATCATTTTGCAGAGGCAGAGAGAGGCCATCAGTGTGGCAGAGTGGGATAGTTGGCAGTTAACATAAAAAAAGAACGCCCCTGGCTTTTCGCAGTGATAGACAGATCAAACTTTTGTCACTCTGCACTTATTCCAAATCGCTGTCTGACATAATTTTTCCATTTACCCTGTCTTTCATTTTTGCATCACTTTTTTGTTGCTGACTGTGGCTGCTGGTTGTGTTACTCATCTGCTCATTTTAGTATGACGGCCCGGGTCTTTTTCTCTGTCTATCATCCCCACTAAAACACACAATGTCTATTTCACAGTTGTGTCATCCTGTCCTTGAGAGAAAAGAAAGACAAAACAACCTGCCAGTAACTGAAGGATGCAAAAAGACAGATTGAAGGACCATTTGTATAAATGAGGCTGAAGTAAATACAGTACAATGTAACAATATAAGTTTATTTACTGCATTATTCTGTAAATGTAATTCTGCTGTAAGTGGGCATAAGTGTATAAACTTTAATTGTATTTATATAAATATTATGTATTTATAGGTGTACAAGGGCCCTTTTGTCAAGTCACAAAACAACAGCTTGCACAGTTGGGAGCATATTGTAGCTGGAACAGCAAAACTATAACTAGCTTAGCCCAGGAACATGTTTGGGTGGGTGCATAATAATAATTACCACAGGCATAATGTTAAAGTAATGGTATTCAGTGCCCTACAAAAATATTATTGTTGATGCTCTAAACACCAACATTTTGTATATTTTTAACTCAAATGACCGTCTTTAATGTGAAATGTTTGCTAGTTCTGCTGATTCCACTGAGAATCAACAGCATCCATCCAGTATGGTATATGAACACTGCAGTTAATAATATTTTACTAATTATATATAACACCCAAACTACACTGCATGAAAAAAACACTTTCAACAAGTTAGTTTATTGAAATAAAAATGAAAGTGTTCTGAAAAATCGTTATTTTCTTTACATCGACTGTTTTTTATAAAAAAAATAGCAGGAATGTGTTTACAATACACATTTAGATTATTGATGACTAGCAAATTGAAAGTATGTTGAAGTGCATGAAAAATACAAAGCAAGCACATTGTCATATAATCAATATAAACAACACTTTATATACAGTACTTATTTGCTTTTAGCACTATATTTCCCATTTAAGGACCATTACAAACTTGGCTCTACACTACAAAGGATCACAATGACAGACCAATTGTATATAATCTAAAAATATGTTTCTGCTGCGAATAGCTAATAGCCACAATAAATCATGCAAGCACTTATGAATGATCAACTGTTTTTGGGGATTTGCAGCACAGTAGCTCGCTATTAGAGTTGCATTTCTGGCTGCCTTTTAAATGTAAGTCCTGTTTGCTCGCACCTTTTGGCCCCAGTTTGGTCAACTGCTGAGAAAATATTTATATTTCTTGGTTTTCTATATATTTACTACTTACTTACTTTCTTCAGCAGCCACCAGTTTACTTTGAAAGTGGTGCACATCTAAATTTTATGAGCTAATTTATTGGAATACTTTTATAAAAGGAGGGTCAGTGACTTAAGTATTTGAACTTTCAAATTAAAAAAAATGAAGTGAGGTGATCTGCAATATTACCCATCCTTTCATATTACAGTCATTTGATTCAATTTTGATATTAAAAAAAAAGTTTAATGTAGTTTTAAAGAATTTTTG